AGTTTGGAAGCAATGAAGATTTTGGAGATGTTCTTTCACAAGAAATTGACAATTAAAAGCACATTATTGCTAATTTTAGCAAATCTTCTCAAAGCCAGAAAGACATTATTGTATCACTGGAAAAGAGCTGTTAGTCATTCTGATGGCAATTTATCATTTCTATCACTAATTTTACAGCTTTAAATTCCTGTTGCATGCCAACCATGCCTCATTAAATTGATTGGTTAGTTTAAAGTGTATGGAGGGTCAAGTGGCTAGATGCAGTAGGCACAAGAATATGACATTGCAAAGGGAATATTATGAGAATGCTGCAGAGTCGTAGCTAGGGTTTTCAGCGCCCAGGGACAACTGAAGATCTCGCGCCCCCTACGGGTTGCCAAGGATGGAAAACATTTAATTCTAAAATATCGTAACATCAGTTTGGCGCCCTTTGGATTCCGCGCCCGGAGACAGATGTTCCCCTTGCCCCCTCTAGCTACGCCTATGGAATGCTGATTAACTTTCAAGACTATGTGCAAGTGCAGACACTGTTCAAAATTTAAGGCAAAATACGGCTTTGAAGCCCCAGTACACAGAAAAATTAACACTATCTCTATAAGATTAGAGACTAATCTATGAAGCAGCAAAGAAAAGCCCAAATGAGAAGGTCCTGAATAGCAAAGAAAATGAAAAAGTTAGCTGGAAAAAAATGGCACATCTTAGTCTGATGCTGAAAGGAAACTAGACTTTATGGGACCCTCTTCATCAACGAGATACAGTTTTCAGTTGCAAATGGGAAGCTGATAACAGAAAAACATTTACATGGCAGATCATCGTACTAAGATTTTGAGTCCCTTCTGTTTTATCAGAGCCTTGTGTCTTAATGGAGTCATTTTGGTGTAACAAAGGCATTTCGTAAAATTTGCAAATATTTTTTCTGGGGGAGGGGAATGTAGAGAAGTGGTGCAAATCCTGTCATGTATGTGGAGTTCAAAAAGGTCTGAAGACACAGACACAAGGAAGTTTACAGCACTACAGTGTCAAAGCATGATTCAGAAGGATTACTTTGGCTATTTGTGGACCTTTACATTGTACAAGTAAGGGTAACAAGTATATTTTAGTTATTAGGATCTATTGTTAATGGCTGGAAGCTTCAGCATTTGCAGTTCTAGTGGAAAAATGGATTTCATGATTTAGAATGGCTCTACTTATTCATTGCACCCAAGGAACTAACATGTCTGCTCTATCTCCAAGGAATATCTGCCATATTTAAAGGACTATATAGAATTCTTGATATGGATAAGATTCAAACCACTCCTTTACCATAGCCAGTTGGATGGAGAGACTTAACTGGACTCTACTTGCATCCCACAACCAGCAAGACAGGGACCAAAAAATGTCATTATTCCTGCTAGCGTACATGATTGCCATTCATGAGAATGCTGGATTTTCTCCATTGCAAATGACTTTTAGTCATGGTTTTCATCTGCCATGTCATTTTCCTAAAACAGTACCTGAAAAAGTTCACCAAAGTAAGGATTAACATAGCAGCTGAAAGGATGATGACGAGATACGATGCCAAGAGACTGCTATTCATGAGAATGCTGGATTTTCTCCATTGCAAATGATTGGTCATGGTTTTCATCTGCCATGTAATTTTCTCTTTGGGCGACTGCCGATATACCTTCTTTGCCTAAACAGTACCTGAAACAGTTCACCAAAGTAAGGATTAATATGCAGCTGAAAGAATGATGACGAGATATGATGCCAAGTCTTGGAAAAGGAATTCAAGGAAGGAGATATAAAAATCTTTGTCTGTGGAATCCCATGCATCATCAAGCGATCTCATCCAAGCAACAAACATTCTGGGAAGGACCCTTCTATATGATGAAATGATATAGTGGCTGTGTGCGCAAAGAATTACTACTTCTAAAGCTAAAGTAGTATGTTAGAATAGGCATGCACCTTGTTATACAGAGGGCGTTTACACATTTTTAGAATGATTTTCGGACCATTTAATTAATTTAAAATGTAAAGCACACTTTTTCTTTAATGTTTGATCTGATAAGCCTTTTTTCTAAGATCTGAGTCTGCATCATGATTCCTATGATGAAAAGGTTTTTCATAACATTTCCAGGTGTATTGATTTCCTTTACTTTTTCACTACTTTTCAGAGCAAATCAATTGTGGTGGATTGGCATTAGAGAGTTCTTTTCAAGAGACCAAAAGCACAATAATCCATATATGAAATGTCAGAGGACTTTGCAGGAGTATGTTTCAAAAGTATGAAATACCTGTATCAGCCTTCATTTTTTTCAATGAGTTCAACGATACTTTTCGAAGTTTGCTTTGTCTCGATGAAGTTTCACTTTCTTAAAATCACTATGCTAAAGAAATGGAATTTCTTCTGTGAATATTGGACATAAAACTTTCTCTTGATAGTATGTTGAGTTTATTGTAACCTTTTTTTTCCCTCTTATTTTAAATTTCCCATTGTCAGAGAATTCTGTGATAATCATAAACCACTCACTGAAACTTTCTCTGCATTGACAGAACCAGGTTTGTACATTTTTCCCATCTTTCTTTCTGATTAATTAATAGACCTTTTTATGTTCCAGTCTTTTAGGTAACCCATGTTTCATCCAGGATCACAATGTATCTGCATTTATCTTCTGCTATACAGTTTTCATACATTCCTTAACAAAAGCTGAACATAGTTTTTTTTTTTTTATTATTTGTAAGTCTTGGTTTATTATTTTATTTATTGTTTCTACAGTTGTATTTATAGACTTTACAACTGATTTGACATTGGCAGATTTTCTCTTGTTACCTACCATTTACATTTAAAAACATTAGAAATAGTATGCACCTTTTTAGAGTATTCATTTGGAGGTTTCTTTCTATGTAGATTGATTCATTTGATTACGACAAAGCCTCCAAGGCTATTTGCCTAAGGGAAGGGATGCCTTCGTGCAGGACTTTCTATGGGAAACTGACTCATATACACGTTACACATGAGAAACCACGAAAACTCCCATGCAGCCAGCTCGTTTGCGGGATTCGAACTTGGACCGAACTATCAGTGTTCAGCTACTTTACTGCTTGGTCACTAGTAGGCCTCTTTCCAAGTAGAATAATGATTGATGGTTTTCCCCTTTCCTATTACAAATGATCTTATTTTGCACTTAAATTTTTATATCACGGACTTCACAACATTTTTTAATTATGGAATAGGAATATTTCTCTTTGACAGCACAAAAACTTATCCTTTAATCCACAGCCTGTTTACATGTGATATATAGAAAGAAGAGCCACCCAGCTGGTGTAGTGATTCATAACCCTGGCTGTCATAGCAATGGGTATGGGCTCGGTTCCCGGACAAGGATGGCTGTAACTATCCATCCCTTCATAAAGGGTGGTCACATATTAGATGCTTCATTAGTGAAATGGCCACCACTTCCGGCCCATGTAGTGGCCAAAGGCTATTAAATAAAGTACCTGGCTATTTAAAAAAAAAAGTTATATATATAAAGTAGAATATATTTAAAAGCAGCAGAAAATATTTCACATCTCAAATAATAAGTTAACAAATTTTTATTCCAAAGCATTAAAAAAAATCTCTATTATTCTAAAAATGTATAAACAACCACTGTAGTAATGAAGATTAGTTGTGCTCATCTTGGGCATTGCATAGCTCTGGATGTACAGTCCTGCAAATATATACATCTTTTTTATTGCATTGTTGTTTTTTCATTTTTGTCATATTGTGCATTTACTTATTTATTAGTAACTTTTAGAGTGATAATGTTAGGGTTTATTTTGTGTTTGTTATCACATGATCGATATTTAGGTGTTTATTTTTTAATGTGGAATTTTTATTTTTTAGGTGCGAGTATAGCAAAGCTTAAATTGTAAGAATAGCTAAAGCAAAATTTGAGATACGAGAAAATGTGTTTGTCAAAGGCTTCGGTGACCAGTTCTTCCCAAAGCCTGTGCTACATAAGATCTGTATTTATGTTACATGATGCAAATATGGCTTTGAGAGTTCAGACAAGTTTGTAGCTGTTATTCACCTGCGAGATTTAGCATTAGCTGAATTGCAATTTAGAGTTTACTCTATTAGTGGTCTGGTGTGCTAAGGAGGAACTGCTTAATATCCATTTTCCCTTGAGCTATTTATCATGCTAAGTATCGTTAATTTTTATAATAAATTGTTCTTTCTTTCTTTTTCTTTTAAATCTAGAGCGATAATTTCAAAAGACATCAGTGAACCTATATCTGGCAACAGTATGTATTATGAGCTAAGATGATATGGCAATAAAATGCTATCTGACCACAGATAACTCGACCTGGTTCACAGTCAAACTGTTATATATCATGGGGGGGGGGAGGAAAGAGAAATAATCTGCATTATAATTAACAGAAAAAATACTAGTTATGAACTCTATTATATAGTTTGATATCTTATCATTTGACCCAAACCATATGGATACTTTTATTCACATGTGATAATAGTATGAAATATGAAAATACATTATTGTACATAGTAAAAGTAGTCGCCAGACAGATAGTGGTTAGGGGAGGCTGACTGCGATACTGAAGAACGGGGGTTCGAATCCTGGAGAAGGCATGGATGTAATTGTCTGCCCCTTCATAGGAGGCAAAGGTGGTCCACCTATTAGGTGCTCCATAATAAAGAGACATCTGGCCTTAGGAGTGGCCGATGCCAACATAGACAAGTGCCCGCCATTGGAGAGGGGGAAAACATGGTAAAAGTTCATTTCTTCATGCATGCAAGTTACATTCCAGTGCCTTTTTTTTATACTGCAACATAGTAAGCTTCATTTCTTATTTATTCAGAAAGCAATAAATAAAGATTGCTCTGTATTTAAATTATATGAACTAATTTTCATAAAAAGTGAAATTACAAATTATTTCTTAAAATTTTTTGTTATGACCTGTTCTTAATTCCATTAAGTCTGCTGAATGTAAAGTTTCTTTTTTAAAGAATGTTTTCCAAATTCAGCTTATAAGTACAAACTTTACTAATATTCATATAAAAATAATTTAATACATTATATACAAATATTTTATATAACATTAAATGTATGAGTTTTTATGTTACAAATACAAAGTTTGATTTATTTTTGGTGGCTTTTCTGGAGCTATAATTTGTACAGTAGGTAGACTTGGAGATGTCATGGAAAAAGCTGTCTTCTTTTTCTTTTTTCTATTCAGGAAATCTACAGCCAACTTTACTAATCCATTTAATATGCCTACAAGAAATATATATTTCAAAAAATGTTTTAACTCACATAGAATACTTTTACATATCCATGGGAAATATATAAAAAGAATATGTGGTCAGATATTATAAATAAATTTTTCTTTGATTGGCAGGGTTTCATTGTCACGGCATATAAGACGCACCCTTATTTAGAAGGCCACACACATGTAGATGTAGAAAAAGTTATGTATGTCTAGATCTTTATCCAGGCTAAAAATAGCATTCAGTATTGAAAGTTAACCTGTGTCCTTCACGTATAAGATGCAGGTAACTTTTTTGAGACCAAATTTAGGAAAGAAAGTGCATCTTATATGCCGTCAAATACGGTACTTAAAGTCCACATTTAGGACCCTAGGTTTCAAGGGCTCTCAATTATCCTTTAATTTTTCATAATTATTGTTTAAATGGGGGAGGACATGAAAATGGGGACTAGGAGCCCCTGAAAAAAATGTGGGCTTAGAGCCTCAGACTGTCTTAACTCGGCCCTGCTGATAATAGTTTTTAACTGTTAAATGCCTAGCATGGAGTATTTTGAAAACAATCCTTCCCCCAATTTTGTTTTAATTGTGGAAATATTTACTTGAACATAGTTACACATAAGGGAGGGAGAATAAAACATATAATTAAATGCATTACTTCTTCAAGATACGTGTATAAAACGTTGGTACAATAATTCATAGTGATTTTAAGGAAATCTGTTACTAAAACTAACTAATACTGAAATTGAGACTTTCTGAGAATTAAATAATAATGGCATCACCAACAGAACAGTTCTCCAAAAATCTCTATTTCGCTAGCTACTCATCAAAACTTTAATCAAATTATTTGAACCATTTCAGATAGTTAATATTCAAAGCTGTTTTTATACAGGATTATCTATAATAAAATCTGATATTATCTAAAAATCTCTAATTATCTTTTAATATTATCTAAAAATAAAATCTGAATTTTTCAGTTCTGAGAAAATGTTTCAAAAATAAGACAGAATTGATTTTTATACCTGTATGTATATATTACCTGATGTGGCAAACACTCCACCAATAATGCCACACAGACGAACCAAAATTCGCCATATAGAATGTTTTTCCACAGTTACTTTTACTTTAATAAATGACATATCATATTTAAAGTATATGCCTGGTACTCCATGGCTACCAGCTTGATGACTAATGGCTCGAGCCTATAAGAGAAAAAAAAAAAATTATACAAATATCTTAGGATCAAGAACACAAGAAGAGAAGATTTTAGCAATAACAAATTGTGTTTAGGTTTTTTAAGCTTAAGTTTTAAACATTATGCACATATATAGAAATGGATTTTGCTAATTTGCTTAGAGCAAGGGCTTAACTCTAAAACTTCAAAGTTCCCCCAAAATGCAACAAAAACACAGAAAGTTCCTGATTATAATTAAAAAATGCCTCTACTACTTTGCATCTGTATTTATGTATTCGGAAACGTTTCAAGATGCATATTCATGTACTTGTTTAAAACAGCCAAGAAAAATATTTTTAGATATAAATAGAATTTTGATAATCTTTGTACACTAGGAGTATCAGGGTATGGCCAGATTCCAGGTTATGTCTTTCTGAATTTTGTATACAGTTACCTCTTTCCAACTTTAAATTAAATGAACTAAAACATAGCAATGTTTTATTTAATTAAGATTTATCAACCATAGAATTCTTATATATTTTTTTAAATAATTACATACAATGAAAACAATATAAGAGAAAAATATAATCAGATAATTTTATTTTTTGAAAAAATGATTGTAAAAATGCATCAAAGAATTGTATGTAAAAAAAAAACTATATGCATTACTAAAATTATTTTCAAAGTGATTTTTATGCATTTAATTGAAAGAAAAATAAAAACATTGCTTAAAAAAACCTGAAATAGTAAGAATTTCCCTAAATTGAATATCTACACTAAACCTTCCATTACATTCTGTATATGTGCAACTGGATGCAAATTACCAGCATTTCCAGAATTATCAGAATATCATAGTACATATATGGCATGAGTACCAGAAGGATTAAACGAATTTTTCTAAAAATCAAAATTAAAAAAAAAAAAAAAAAAAAAATTGCTTATTTTGGTCCCTTTTATCTGTTTTTACATTTTTGACAGCAGTTTTAGAATCATCATGTATTAATAAAATTATTTATTCCTTTATCTAATCATTCCTTGAAACACTGCATTTCTGATACAACATTTCTTTTATGGATCATTTTGGGAGGGGGAATTAAAATAAAGTACTTATCATCCATGTTACCTTCTTTTACCTAACTGTAAACATGGAAATATAGTAATGCAGTAATAATTCTTGTGTGCCCTCACTCCACATCTGAGCTGTTAGCATCATTTCTGAAATCTTATTCTGTTGCAATAATGTTATTCCTGTCAGTTCTCAATTAGTTTTCAGTTTGGGTTCACAAAGAGTATAGGGGAAGATACGAAGAACACAAAAGCAAACAAAAGGTGCTGCTAAACTTATAAAAACCTAGGAAGCTTTACAAACTCTTATTGTTTTTCTCTGTATAAAGTTGAAGCAAAGTAGAATATGATAACATTTTGTCTTGAAAACTTAGATTTTCTAATAAAGAAAAATTTACCACATAACAAAAGATGGTATATTTTTTTGTTATTAAAGATTGCTTTTTGTAATATAGTACTATTAAAAGGAATAAATATTGTTTATTTACAACATTTACTTATTTATAGTGTGTAGCAGTTTTTTGGCTTAATTTTTCTGCAATTTTCATTTTCCCGCTCAATTCTATTAAAAGTTGACAGCATATATTAGTTTAACATTATAAAATATTAAGAAACTGACCATAAGGAAAATGTCCCTGAAATTCTTCAGAATGACAGAAAAAGTGTCCAGATTTATTTTGTTTCCCAAAGGAACCTCAAAGGTGGAAACAAAATGGCAAGGTAGCATTTGAATTAAGTGTCTTTTTCATTGATTAATAAATATAATTTTTTGTGTGCCCCCCCCCCCCCCCCGTTTTGACTCACTGATTGTGCCTAAAAATACTTTATAAAAATTTTAATTCAGTAAGTACTTGTTAGCCATGTTACCTTCCCTTTGGACTATAAACCTGGAAAAACAGTAATGCAGTAACGATTCTTGTGTGTCCGCACTCCACATCTGAGCTATTAGCATCATTTCTAAAATCTTATTTTGTTGCACAAATTTATGAAACTAAAATGAGAGCATTTATGATACATTTGATGCAAAACTGGCAGTGATTTTTTAAGCTTTTTATAATATCATGGGTTATACCCATATCTACTACATGCCTCAGACTGGCTAGCATAGTATCCAGTAAACGTACATTTCTTGTGATTTTCTAATGTAATTAATAGTTGTATTTAAAAATTTTATATTTGAAAAGTTTTTAAAAGCCTTTCTTAAAAGATATAATTATGAAATTAATTTTCTTATTTTATATTCACAAAATTATCACATTGGCTTGCAACAATTGCAATAATGATATGTGAATTAGATACCACTAGTATTACTTCACACCATAATTTTTTTAGTTACTGCTGTAGAAGTGTATGAATCTTTAACATGTACAAGTGAATTTCTTTTATAGCAAATTAATCAATCAATTTGCTATTAGCTTACTTTTATCATATGTTCTTGTTTCACACTCTATCATTAAAATGGGTTTAGCACAGCATTATTCAAGTACTCTGGTTTTTCTTTGTTGTATATTAAATGCATTTTTTTTATTGTGTACTAAATATCATTCTAGACAGTGTTTAAAAATAATGGCATACAAGAGTAATTTTTTGACGTTTTTTTCAGCATACCTTATATTTCATTAATTGAGATTACATAAGGTTAACTTAGTTTGAATTTATAAAAGCAAAAAAAAGTAATTCATAAAATTGATGTAACAGTAATTAAGCGAGTTTATAAAGTTTAAAATGTTATTATTAGTTTAAAATGCTTATACAAGTTATTTCCATAAATTTACATTGAATAAAATAAAACATTTAAAAGAAATAATACAAATTTTCTATTGAAAGCTTCGTTTAATAAAATTTATTGCTACATATGACATGCATAATTTAATTTTCTTAAGTGGTATAAAATATCACCCCACCTTATATATATATATGAAGGGTGTTTATACATTTCGAGAAAAATATCAAAAAAAAAATTAAAAAAAAAAGTGTTTTGGAATAAAAGTTTTTGGCAACAGCTTATTATATGAAATGAGAAATACCACCTCCTGCTTTTAAATTTATTCTCCTCTCAAAATGTTGCATGTAAAAAAGCTGCGGCCTGAAGGATATGTTTCTGTGTTTTTCAAAGAGAAATATTCCTATTCCACAGTTAAATAATGTTGTGAAATGCATGGTATTAAAATTCCTAAGCATAAAATAAGCAACATTTTTTATTAATCAGAAAGGAAAAAGGCATCAGTCATTACTTCTACATAGAAGAAACCTTCACAGGAATACCCAAAAAAGGTCTGTACTGTTTCTAATGTTTCTAAAGTTAAATTGTTGGTAACAATAGAAAATCCACTGATGCAGAAATTAATTGCAAAGTCTTGAAATACATCTGTGGTAACAATAAATAAAATAAGAAACCAAAATTTACAACTTAAAAACATAACGTTCACCAGTTTTCACTGAGGCATGCGACTCAACGTAAAATAATTTGTAGAATCCTGTATGAAAACTATTTGGCAGGACATAAATGGAAATACGCTGTGACCCTTGATGAAGAAGGTTTACATAATGAATGTAACAAAAAAGTCTATTCATCATCAAAAATGAAGGAAAAAAATGTATAAACCTGGTTCCTTCAATACAAAGAAAGTTTCAGTAAGTGGTTTGTGATTATAGCAGAATTCTCTAAAGAGGGGAAATTAAAAATATATTAAAGTGGGAAAAAATGTGAAAATCACCTCAATATACTATCAAGAGAAAGTTTTATGTCCGATATTTACAGAAGAAATTCCATTTCTTTATCCTAGCGACTTTTGCTTCAAGATAAAGCAACAACTCATACTTCAAAAAGCACCACTGTACTCCTTGAAAAAATGAAGACTGATACAGGCATTTTATATATACCTTTTCAATGTATTCTTGCAAAGTCCTGTGACTTTTCACCTATGGAATATTGTGTCTCTAGTCTCTTGAAAAGAGCTCTTTCTAAGCACCACAGCCCACCATGACTGATGGACTCTGGAAAGTAGTGGAGGAGGAATGGAAATCAATACCCCTGGAAATTTTATGAAAAGCCCTTCAATCATGGAAATCATAATACAGACTTATAATCAAGAAAAAAGGTTATCAGATTGAACATTTAAAAAAATATTCTTTACATTTTAAACATTAATTAAAGAGCCCCAAAATCATTTAAAAAAATGTGTAAACAACTTCTGTATATCTAATTTTGTCCAGCTTAAATTTTGCAGTTATTAAAATTTACATAAAAAGCTGGCTTTATAAAGAAAAGTACATTTAACTGATGAATGTTTCCTTCAGGTATTATGGAAATTTTAAGTATAAATAGCTTTTAATAGTATTTGTTAATACTCAGTTTATTAAATTACTAATTTTTTATGAACGATGAAATTTATAAGCTCTTATTCTTGGCTCTTTGTATGTTTTAATAAAATAACTTCTGAAATATATATTTTTCATGTGCTAGAACTTGCACTAAGTGATATTTATTTAGTTATTGAGCCCCCCCAAAAAAGAAGTCTAGAATAAAATAGATAGATAATTTACCTGTTCTGTAACAGAGTACTGATATGCATTTTGTTTCCTACCATTCATAACAATCTCAGTTGGAACAACTTTTAGGTAGTACTGATACATGTGAAAATCTGAAAGAAAAAAGCAAATAGTTTAACATCTTTTTAAAAGCATATAAATGCATATGTCAAATAACAAAGTCAAATATCTAAACATTTTAAAAGAAAGTCCATAATTTTTATAATCATTACATATATTGAGTGTGTGTGTGTGATTATGGCAAAGCCTCGAGGGCTATCTGCCTAAGAGGAGGGATGCCTTCGTGGAGGACTTTCTAAGGGAAACTGGCTTGTATACACGTTACACATGGGGAAAACCACGAAAATGCCCATGTAGCCAGCCCATTCGCGGGACTCGAACCTCGGACCGAACTACCAGTGTTCAGTGACTTTACCGCTCGGCCGCTGGTGGGCTACATATATTGAGATCATGTATAATAGGATGAAATTAATCTGATTTGTTTAAAATAATAATTACTACATAACTTGCACTGATTTGAAAAGAACTGGTTTATGGAAATTTTTTCCATTGGATAATTCAATTTAATATTAATAAATATGAGATCTATTTTATGATTCTTGTTATAATTCCAACATTAAACAAAGATTAAAAGTTACAAATGCAAATGATTAAAATTGAAATCATTTTAAATTTTGTTATGAATGATATGATTATACAACACAAAAGGCTAACTGAACTTAAAAAATACAACCACAGATAAACAACAGATTTGTAATGTATTTATTTATGACAGTTCACAAATATACTAAAAGTAGACAATATCATTTTAAAGAACGCCACAACATAAATAAATTATTAAGAAAATTAAAAGAAATTTCAACTGAAATGAAGATAAAATTGGTACTTGGCTTCTGCAGCAACCTTGGCTGGGAATATTGGTTTGGCACGCTTCTGCATTGGTGGGAAAGAATCGATCTGTGCACATGCATTTTTTTATAGCTTTGTTTTTAAATTAAAATGACTTTTCATGTGTTTTTGTAGTTTATGTTTCTTTGGCCAGTGAAAATTTTTGCTTTTAAAATACAGCAGCCTATTAATGGCTACTGATCTACATACATGCATTTTTTCTGCCTTTGATTTTAAAATATAGTGGGTTTTTTGTGTGTGCTTGTAGTTCATGTTTCTTCAGCAAGTGAAAATTTCACTTTTAAATTATAGTGTTTTTCATTGCAAATATTTATTATGCTTATTGTTTTCAATGAAAGGGGAGCTACAGTTTTTTTTAGTCTTCCATAAAAAAGGAATTTGTGAAAATAGGCATAATATGTTGGAAAAGAAACCATTTGTCAGCAGTCAGTAGCATGCAATGTCAGCAACTATAAAATGAAGAAAGGACTTTGTTTTAAAAATTGGTTTAGTGGATTACAAAAATCCTTTCTTACCTCACTCTTTTTTTTTTTTTTTTTAATTGTTAGAGCAAGGAACTCGCTCTGATCCAGGCATACAATATGCGATTAAATATGAGAAAAACAGCAGCCATCGATAGATTAATTACTTGAGAGAGCAATCTGCTCCAAGTTTATGACAAAGCATTCAGACAACGAAATAGGAGGAGCTAATAATATCCAGGAAATTGAAGAATATTTCTTCGTAAAATGAAAGAATAATACAAGTAGAGTACTGCCACAGCATTGGAATTTACGTTTGCCATTACAGCAGAGAGTGCTTCTTAGTATAAGTACTTAACAGAAATGCGAGAATGCTTACAGAGAAAATACAAGAACATGTGAGTGAGGGATCGTTGATCTATATGGACAAAATTGTACACTATAAAAAATTAAATTCTTTAAAATTTATGTTTCTGCTAAAAATAATAAGCATTATGAGTATTTTACAAAGAAAAACCTCTACATAGTGCAGTTACACACACAAAGAAAGATTGTTAACCGTTAGTTTCTTTGCACGTGCATAAATCGGTAATAATTTATTTCTTTCCAAGGCCACTGCAGAAGATAAGTATCATAAAACTGAAGTCACATGAAATTTTTTTAAATACTTATTATGATGTGCTACTAGCATACAATTAATATGCATATATGTTTTTAATATAATGTCAACTATGCAGACTGAGTAGGACAAGATGATTCTTGTATGAGGAAGAGATTATTTCAAGCAAACACTTTATTCTTAAAAAGTATATTATTCATCTAAACAAATAGATTTATTTTCAAGCACTAGCATTTTATTTCAATATCAAATTATACTTTCCAGAAAGTAAAGGGGGGAAAATGCAACACTACACAAATTCTAGCTCAAGCATTTGCTAGTTCTGTTTTTTATATAGCACGGGCAAGTTACGAGTATCTCATCTGTAGTTACACTTCTTCGGCTTTTAGATATTATAATTAAAAATTAAAACTCCCCAAGTAATTTTTTTTGGCTTCATTGTTCAGGCCAATGACAGAAATAGAATACACAAAAGAAACAAGTCTGGAATGAAAAATACACAAGGAAGGAAGTGTTACAGTTTATGTAGCTGGCCACAAGAGGGCGCAGCGTTTTTTACTTTTTAGCTTGTTATATTTTTCTTACCACATTGCGGATTTTTGAGATAGATGTAGTAGCAACCCGAGAAACATGATGAACGTTCTAATGTAAGCAGAGAATTGTTGTACATGGCTGTAAATAAAGCTTCTGTGTGATAAAAATGAAAAGGAATTCCAAGCATTCCTGAGGATATTCATCAAGAAAGGTAAGCAAAATTTCACTCATCGATGTTGTTAAATGTAAATAATAAGAACAAGAAAAAAGATCATAAGTTGCAACATGGTGCCGAAATTCCGAGATAACTGTGGTCTTTAGATATATTATGATTTAAGTATTTATTATTGTTTGATTAGTGATTGAATGTTGATTATTAAGATGGATAAGTTAAAAGCACTAAAAATGAAGCGAGGAATGCTAAGAGCATCAGTAACAAGACTGATAGCTACAATGGAAAGGGAAATAGAAACAAATAATATTAAATTTGATTTATTAGAAGATGATTTATCCATCTTAAATGAAAATGATAATGATATACTAATATTGAACACTGAAATCGAATCTATCATAACAGATGAAAAAGAGTATGAAACTGAAATACAGGATAGCTTGGAATATAAAAATAAAATTACCTTGTGTAAATCGAAGATCAGTAGAATATTTAGAAATAGAAAATGTGTTAAGTTAAATGAGATGCCATCTAATTCTGCTACTATAGATATGGTAGAGAACACAAATACAAATGGCAAACTAACTTCCAAAACTAATCATAAATAAATTTAAAGGCGAAATATGTGAATTTCAAAGTTTTTGGGCTTAATACGAATCTGCTATACATAATAACTCTGCTTTAAAGGATGTAGACAAATTTAATTACCTCACATCCTTACTAACGGACATAGCTTTAATGTCAATAAAGGGATTACCGTTAGTTGCCGAAAATTATGCTAAGGCAATAAATATTCTGAAAGAAAGGTTTGGTAGAAAGGACATTTTAATAAATGCACATATGAATCTTCTGCTGAATTTAAAGCCAGTAAAAAAAATGATAGCTTATATGATAGCTTAGAAACTGAAATTAGAAGCCTTGATTTCCTTAAAAAATTTCCTTAACATTACTTCGAATTCTTACAGCTATTTGTTATGCCCACTGTTAATGAGGATACTTCCTAGCCAGAATTGGTTTTAGAGTTTAATCGATCTTTAACCCCTGACACAGAAACCACAGAGACTAACATTTTGGAATTTCTGAAGAAGGAAGTTGAAAGCAGAGAGCGTAAGGTTTTCCAAACACCGCCAAACTATTCCGAGTTTAACATCAGAACCGAACAACATAAACATCAATCGCGAGACCTTATTAAAAGTGAGAAATATCATACTGCCTTCAAAAACAAACATTTTGTTCCAGAAATTGTTGTCAATTCAATTTGTTGTTGCATCGTTGAATACAAATACATCAACAGCCGATTGTATATTTTGTGGGAAGATAGAAAATGAATCTTTGAAACATTCTACAAACTGCGCAATTCCAATTGAGGAAAAAAGAAAAAATTAAAAATGGCTAACAGATGCTATTTATGCTTTCGTAAGTCTCATACGTCTGCCCGTTGCAGCTCAGATATACGCTGTGATTTATGTTCATTAAGGCATAATAATTTTACATGATAATAAATTTGAAAATAAACGGGAAAATAAAGGTGAGCTTAAAACAGACACAGTGGTGGCGTCAATTTCGGAAAGAGATAACAAAAATAGGGTTTATTTACAAACTGCAAATGCAATAGCTTTAGGTCAGAATAGAAGAAAAAAATGTAAGACTCATTTTCGATTCTGCCTCTCATAAATCTTTCATTCTGACAGAAGTATCAAAACAATTAAAATTAAGTGTTGTGGGGGAAGAAGAACTTCAGATTTACACCTTCGCCTCTACTGAGCCAACAGTTAAAAGGCTAAAAAAGGTTAAGGTTATTCTTAAAGATATATGTGGACCTGGGAAAATAATAATTGAAGCTCTTGAAACTCCAGAAATTAATCAAGCTCTTATTGGTATACCAGGAAAGGAAATACTTAATTATTGTAAGGAAAATTCGATAAGACTTGCTGATGCTACAGATATAGGTGTCCATAACTCTCAAATATCAGTATTAATTGGTAATGATTATTACTGGAAAATAGTCACTGGGAAGGTTAAAAGATTATCAAAGGGTCTTGTTGCCTCTGAAACCTTATTTGGTTACACTATAAGTGGAACTGAAGCATTAAGTAATGTTTCTACACTTCGTTCCGGAATTACGGTAATGAATGTTGTTGAGAATACTTCACATGCCACATGATTTGGAAATTAGTGCAGCTCTAAAAAGGCTATGGATTTAGATGCAATTGGAATACATGACTATTCAGCAAATGAAAATGACACTGAAGTTATGCGTAGATTTGAAGAAACTATTGAATATAAAACCAATCGTTATGAAGTTTCATTACCTTGGAAGGACAATATGAACAAAATGGGTAGTAATTATAACATCGCCTTAAACAGATGGAACAGTTTACTTAGAAGGTTTAAGAAAAATCCTGAAATTTATGACAAGTATTCAAGGGTAATTGAAGATTATCTAAATAAAGGAATAGCTGAAAAGGCTCCGAAGAATTCTGAAGAAAACATCTATTATTTGCCACACACCATTGTGTAATCAGAGAAGATCACGATTCTACGAAATTAAGGGTCGTATTTGATGCTTCCTCGCATACTCATGACAGTCTATCTTTAAAATGATTGCTTACATTCAGGACCAAATTTAAACCCTGAATTATTAGATTTGCTAATTAAATTTCGTCAACACAAAGTAGCATTTGCTGCAGATATCGAAGCTGCTTTTCTACAAATTCTGTTGAAGCCTGAGGACAGAAATGCAGTAAGATTTCTTTGGACTTCAAAGGAAAAGGAGCAACCGACGATTTTAAGAATGACGCGTGTAATATTCGGAGCAACCTGTAGCCCCTTTTTACTAGCAGCAACTATAAAGCATCACGCAAGAAAGTTGAAAGCACAATATTCGAAGATCTGTCAGCTTCTTGAAGAAAATTTTTACGTAGATGATTTGATTCATGGTACAGATGATGAAGAAGAAGCTGCAGAAATTTATGAAGATGTGAAAAGGAATTATGATGCTTGCTAGTTTCAATATGAGAAAGTGGAGGAGCAATAACGCCCAATTACATGCGATTTGGAATGCAGCTGAAAATACGAAGTTTAATGGAGACGGAATGAATAGCACTTTGTTAGGATATATTTGGAATCATGAAGCAGATAAACTGAAATTTCGAATCAAAGATGAATTACTCAAGGATCCGGCTGAGGAAATAACAAAACGGAAGATTCTTCAAGTTGCGGGCGAACTATACGATCCTATCGGTTTCATATCTCCCTTTGTTGTTGCAGCTAAAATGATGATGCAAGAATGTTGGCAAAGAGGTTACCAATGGGATGCACCACTTGATCAAGAATTGCAGAATCGATTTAAAACCTGGTATAATGAAATTCCTAAATTAAAAAATGTTGAAATTCCAAGACATTATTTCAACAATCTGTCAAAAGGAAATCTGTCGAATATTCAATTGCACTGTTTTACAGATAGTAGCCAAAAGGGATATGGTGCCGTTGTATATTTGAGATACAATGAAAATGAGTTAACAAAAACATCATTTGTTATGTCCAAAGCAAGAGTTGCTCCCATAAAAAGGGTTACGTTACCTCGACTGGAGCTTTTAGGAGCAGTCATAGGAGCTCGACTCATCACATACATTCGACATTCGTTGAAAAACATAGAAATGAAGATTTATATGTGGACAGATTCAGAAATTGTACTACATTGGGTCAAGGCTGATCCGACAAAATGGAAACAATTTGTACGAAATAGGTGTCTAGAAATCCAAGAGAAAACTGATCCAGATTGGTGGAATTATTGTCCCAGCCATGAGAATCCTTCGGACTTATTGACGAGAGGGCAGAAGGTAGAAACCCTTTCAAAAAATGAACTGTGGTGGTATGGCCCACCTTGGCTTGTCAAAGATAACAACGTTTGGCCCAGATCTTCGAGAAATTTTAATGAAGATGATAAAATAACAAATTCTGAGAAACGAAAAGGAAAGAAGCAAGAAATCTTAACAGCAAACTGTATTGTTGAAAACAGCGAACCTATCATTCCTATCGAGAACTTCAGTGACATAAAGAAAGTATATAGAATAACATCTTATGTTTTCAGATTTATCAATAATGTGAAAAACCCAAAACTAAGAAGAATTGGACCTGTTAAGGCTGAAGAGATGAATGAAGCAGAGAATTTCTGGATCAAGAAAACTCAGGAAGAAAATTTTAGAGAAGAAATAAGGAAATTAAAGATGAAACAAAGCATACATAGTTCGAAAATATTTACATTAAATCCATTTGTAGACTCAAATGGAATACTCAGAGTAGGAGGAAGGCTTCAAAATGCTGAGTTAAGCTATAATCAAACATACCCAGCAATACTACCTGAGAAGTCTCATTTCACAGATCATATCATTAAAGATTGTCACGAAAACGCAAGGACATGCTGGTGTAGCTGAAACTTTAACTCAAATTAGGGAAAAATTTTGGATACTTAAGGGTCGACAGCGTGTAAAGAGTAATATTAACAAGTGTGTGATTTGCTACAGATTTAAAGCTAAGCCACTAAGTCAGGATATCGCTCCTTTACCAATCGAAAAGAATAACAGAGGCAAATCCCTTCGAAGTTGTAGGACTTGATTTTGCTGGTCCTATGAGTACAAAGGATGAAACTGGGAAAGCTTATATTGCTCTGTATACATGCGCTATAACCAGAGCAGTACATCTGGAACTAGTGTCTAGCCAAACAGCAAACAATTTTCTTCTGTCCTTTAGAAGATTTATTTCAAGAATATGGGAGTTGTACAGGGGTATCATGTAGGACGAGATGGGAAAATAAGGGCTTGTACTGTCCGTTTAGCTAATGGAACTTATCTTCGTCATCCTGTGCAGTTATTGTACCCATTAGAAATGACTTGACCTCTTTGAACTGAATACAGTGAACTTAAATTGCGAACACTGCATCTATGAACATTTAAACTTGTAGAACATTAAAAACATTTAGTGTTTAAGATAACTTCAGAATCCAATCCTTTGATGAACCAAGAGTTCATCGAGGGGGAGGATGTTACAGTTTATGTAGCTGGCCACGAGAGGGCGCAGCGTTTTTTACTTTTAGCTTGTTATATTTTTCTTACCGCATTGCGGATTTTTGAGAGAGATGTAGTAGCAACCCGGGAAACATGATGAACGTTCTAATGTAAGCAGAGAATTGTTGTACATAGCTGTAAATAAAGCTTCTGTGTGATAAAAATGAAAAGGAATTCCAAGCGTTCCTGTGGATATTCATCAAGAAAGGTAAGCAAAATTTCACTTATCAATGTTGTTAAATGTAAATAATAAGAATAAGAAAAAAGATCATAAGTTGCAACAGGAAGGAAGGACAGAAATACAGACTATAAGAAACCATAGGGATATGAGAGTGAAGTCTTAGGAGAAAGCTGATTTAAATGTCAAAGAATTTTATTCTTAGCACCACCTGTGCCATATTTCTTCCAAACTTTACCAAGAATACTTACTGACATCAATGCAAACAATATTTAATGAGTCTGGAAAACTGAATGTTTAAATAATTGAGATTTCATTATATTTTTTACGATATCAAGCAATAACAATATAATTCCATAAATTAAATTCACAACACAAAATTAGATTTTCATGCTATCTTTCTTTTGATAATACCAATCAATCAATATTTAAACTGAATGTATGCTTAACATACGAGGGCCATCCAGGAAGTAGATTACGTTTCCGTCTGTGTCCGCTAGGGGCGGGGCTAGCGCGGCCATCTTGGGGTCAGAGCGTTGCGCAGCTCAGTCTGCATCTAGCCGTGCTAGTGAGAGGTTCGTGCTGTGCTCCGTTCAGATACTGTGACGGTTTGAAATGTCTGCGTTAATTGAAAATCCCGCGAGCTGCGAGGTGCGCTCAGTAATAAGGTTTCTGACTGCAAAAAACTGTAAACCGATAGAAATCTATCGGCAGCTTCGTGAAGTGTATGGGGACAACATTATCACTGAAGGTGGAGTGCGTCAGTGGGTCATAAGATTTCAAAATGGCCGAACCAATGTTCACGACGAAGATCGAAGTGGGAGACCCAGCATAGTGACCGCCGAACTTCTCGAAAAAGTCGATGCTAAAGTCCGTGAAAATCGAAATTTCACAATAACGGAACTTTCTTTGAGTTTTCCACAAATTTCGCGAAGTTTGTTTGCACGAAATCATCAGCGAAAAGCTTGGTTACCACAAGTTTTTGTGCAAGATGGATTCCAAAAATCTTGACAGAGGACCACAAAAATCAGCGAATGGCTGCAGCGTTGAACTTTTTGGACGCTTACCATAAGGATGGTGACTCTTTACTCGATCGCATCGTTACTGGTGACGAAACATGGGTGAAACATGTGAACTGTGAAACGAAATTGCAATCAATGCAGTGGGGGCACACAAGTTCTCCCCAAAAACCCAAGAAATGCATGCAAACAATGTCGGCAAGGAAGATGATGGCGACTGTTTTTTGGGACAGAAAAGGTGTAATTTTGGTGGACTTCCTGGAAAGAGGCACTACAATAAACTCTCAAAGGTATTGCCAAACTCTCCAAAAACTCAGAAGAGCAATTCAAAACAAGCGCAGAGGAATGTTGAGCTCTAAGATCTTGTTGATTCACGACAACGCCCGGCCACACACGGCAAATGTCACTCGTAAAGTTCTTGAATCTTTTAAGTGGGAGTTGTTTCCTCATCCGCCGTACAGTCCCGACCTGGCACCGAGCGACTTCCACCTATTCCCAGCAATGAAGAAGTGGCTGGCTATGCAGCGTTTTGATGACGACGCACAGCTGCAAGAAGAGGTAACGAAGTGGTTGAAGGCGCAGGCGGCCGAATTTTTCGACGAAGGAATTTCCAAGCTCGTACATCGCTACGATAAATGCCTTAATTTGTATGGTGACTATGTAGAAAAGTAGTATTTGAGTGTGGCTTTCATCTGTATATAATAAAATTTGTTTCCTATACTTTGTTTATTTTTTTATTCCAAAACGTAATCTACTTTCTGGATAGCCCTCGTATTAATAGATGATAATCTACATTAAAATTTTTCCATTGATATGAGAATGGCAAATCGTGCAAGTTTTAAGATGCATGCTCACCTGAAATACAAGTAACTTAAGGTGGGTGGAGAGTCAACATGGCAATTTTACAAAAAGATAAAAGAAGTTCTGGTATTAAATTCAATAAGAAATCTTACTAGTTGGAGCAGTTTTTTCATCTCCTTCTAATGGGTCAAATATCCCAGCTGATGGCTCACCAAAAGAGAATCTTTCAATTCTGTGAGAAAAATTATAATCTGAAAGCAAATACAGTTTTTTTCACTGAGATAATAAAACACAAAACATGGGTGGGGAAAAATAAATACATTTGTTTCATGCACAAAAAACAGCATTATGTAATACTTATCTGCAGACAAAATATCAAGTGCAATCAAAAAGTTCCTAGACCAAGCACATAAGATACATATAAATACGCTCTATTTAAATGTGGTTCTTTTCCATTAAAGCACTTGGTGTTCTTTTGTTTAGTGTATTTCCTCAGCATCAAGCATCGGCAGTTAGGTTTGGTTTCTTTTCTGATAATAATTATCTTTATAACCATCGCCTGCACAACCACATTTTTGATTTTGTGTATTTTTACTTCCTTGTATGAAGTAAAGGAAATATTGCAATCACGAAACACCTCGATTTTCAGATTTTAACTGAAATATCCATTTTGACCAGTTCCGTTGTGATGTATATCGCATAACTCAAAAATGATTTCCTGTAAAATGTTGAAATTTTGTGCTTAGGACTTTTGACTAGTTTCAGCTTGATGTCTGTACATATGTATCATGCATAACTCAAAAATAATCAGCCGTAGAATGCTAAAATTTTGTATATGGGACTGTTATACCATCTAATTGTGCACCTCTCTTTTTTATTGCAACTGGTGCTGTTAGAAAGGCGCTTTGAATCAGAAGATCATATCTCACTTTCAAATGAAATAAGTTTAAATGAAGTGCAACAAAAAAAAAAAAAAAAAAAAAAAAAAAAAAAAAAAAATGCGTACAATTTAATATGTGTACAAGGACATCATGTGGTGTCATCAGAATTTTTTAAAAAATTGCAATGGTTTTTACTATTTAGAATTCGAAATACTTCACAAGAAATCATTTTACTATTCCAGAGAATGAAGATCATACTTATATCAGTTAATCTGTAAGTATTTCTGAGTAGTATAAAATGGTGCAATAAATAACAAAGAGACATTACCAATAACATTTTGATTCTTATTCAACTGAATTCATGTGGCAATACATGCATTCCAAATGAGAAGTATTCTCTACTGTGCTAAATGCCATTTTTTTGTTTTATGCCTGTTATTTAGTTTTATATGATATTGTGCTAAAATTTGTTTAATAATTAATGTTAAATTCATTTTTACGTTTGCATGTTTATTTAGTTATTTATGAAGCAATAAATATAATTACCATTTTTTCTATATTTGTTTTTCTTTCATGTTTCTTTCTCTCTCTGTCCCCCCTTTTTTTAAACGGGTTTCAGGGATGAAATTGACAGAAATCAAGGCAAAAAAATTACTCACTGAAATTTAGTAAAAAAGAGAAAAAATTTAGTGTTGTAGATTTAGTAATAAACAAAGATGCTCTAATGTTGAGCAGAAAACGGATGGTATAATTTTAGCGGGAAAATGCTTTAAATTTAACTACTTGTGTTTTACTACTGTACACTAGTGCCAACACTTCTGTTACTGTTCAAAAGATTTCTGGAGCTCCATTCTAACATAACAAGCACCATGTATGATCTACACTGAAATATGTTCTACAGTAGTAAAATGTCAATCCCTCAGTTTGAATTTTAGTTTGGTGGAGGAGGAAAAAGTTAAGGGGCTAAATCTGGAATACAGAGACCATCTACATGAGGAAACATATCTGTTGATATCTGCGGTGCCTACAACTGCCAGTCTACACAGGACACATGTTCAAAAAATAATAGCAGCGTTTTGCTTACAAAATAAAATATGCTGCAAATTATTTAGAGTTTTTGTTATTATTTTAATAAATTTAATTAATGATGCAACATTTAATTTGGATCATAATTTCCAATGAATTTCTTTTTAAACGATAGAATATTGTTTTCATCTTAATGCAAGTGCTTTTTTATTTAAATACAGAGCGATGTATTTTTTTTCCATTATTTGTTACCATAATTACAGATTTGGTAGAATATTTTTTCCTGTTTAAAGGGATTACTATATTCTTATATTCTGACAAACAAGAAATGCTTAATTTATCGTCTGTTCTTATTTGATTACATTTCCAATTATCTATTGTCATAATTTGATCCTTTGACACTTCATCTTTGTCGGTTCGTTTTTCATCCACTTATGAATGTTATTAGTCAACTCTATTTGCAGGAAATAACTGGGACACTTATGCAGGTTTAATAATAACATAAGCTATATTTTAATTTTGTAAATACACATTAACTTTTCACAAAGTATTGCTTTTATTCACATTTACATTAAACGCCCAAGTAATACATTGCATCTCTCCGTTCTTAACAAAAAAACAAGAAAGACAAACTCTACTCTCGGAATACAGCCAAACTCATCTTCAAATTTTTTCTCACGAGCATGCCGCCCTTCTCGCATCAAGCACGTTTCTTCTTCCCGTTGCCAGATATTTCCCCTCTCCTTTCAGATAAACTGTTTTTTTTCACACGAGCCTGCCGTTCTCGCATCAAGCACGCTTCTTCTCATTGCCAGATTTTCTCCTCTCTCCTTTCAGCTATAAGTCGTTGGCTTAACTGTTCTTCCGCTAAGCTTGGTCGGTAGCATCCCCTTACGGAGTATGTGCATGACACGCCCCTGCCAAGAATGAAATTTGTCCTTTCTTTGGGACATATTTCATTAATAAATATCCAAGGAAATTTTCTGTACACTACTTATACACAATGCCAACCTCGTACAGTGTTAAATAAAACAAAACAGAACAAACAATAAATTATTACAACCATACAAAAAACAAAGAAAAATAAAAAAACAATCAAATTATATTACTCATATCATATCTGATCCAGACGGGAGAGTATATCAGCACTTTGGTGCTGGATCCCTGGCCTATGACTAATCCGCAAGTTCCATTTCTGCAATGCGATAGCCCACCTCGTCAATTTGGGACTTCGAGGGGTAGTTTTGTTCAAATATCTGAGAGGATTGTGATCCGTTATAATTTCTACCTGAGCCCCATAGATCCATTTATCAAATTTATTTAGGCCAAATAGCTTCCTTCTCAATGCTTGCCCAATTTCTCTGAGTTTGAGAGAGGTTTTGGCTTGCAAATGCAATAGGACAATAGTTACCACTCTCTTCTATCTGTGTTAAACAGCAGCCTATGGCCAAATTGGATGCATCACAATGGATCTGAAATGGCTTTCCAATATTTTTTTGTGTGGCTAGAGATGTCACTTGGCACAAAGTATCCTTTAATTTGTTAAAAAAGCATGTTCCAACTTCCCCCCCTCCCCCCGCAGAACAATATTGGCATGTCTCTTCTTAGTCAACTCTGCCAATGGGGCCGATGTTTCTGCATAATTGGGAATATAAGATCGATAAAATCCCATTAATCTTAAAACCGATCTCACATCTTTTTTTGTGACGGGCGTGATGAGTTTTCTAATTGTTTTGACCCTTTCTTCATCAGGACCACGCTTGCCTCCTCCAATTATATGCCCCAAATATTTGATTTTTTTAGCTGAAAAACCCCATTTGTTCAAACGTACAGAAATTCCTAATTTTTCTAAAGTGTGCAGAACCAGAGAAATGTGTTTCAAGTGTTCCTCAAATGTTTTCGAGAAAATCACCACATCATGCTATGTATGCCTGAGTATAATCACTATGACTCTGCAAAGCACAATTCACTTACTTCTGGAATGTCCCCGAGGCTCCTGATAAGCCGAAAGGCATTGTTCTCCACTGGTACACTCCATTACACGTTGCAAATGCAGTCAAAGGTTTGCTCTTTTCATCCATTCGGATTTGCCAATACCCTTTTCGAAGGTCGATGCTTGTCAGCCAGTTTGCTGCACCCGCCACAAAAATCAATTCCTGCATGTCTTTCATGGGAAATGTTGGAGTTTTCGTTACAGCATTCAATGATCTAAAATCTATACACATTTTAACTGTAGCATCTTTTTTTGCCATACAAACTATAGGATGAGCAATTTCTGACTCAGAAGGTTCAATTAATCCTAATTCTAGCAACTCACGTATCTGCTCATCTACTGCTTTGCGGTATGCCATGGGTATTCCATAGCAGTGGAGGTTTCTTTCTAATAGCAGTAGGAATAAGTTCGATCTTGTGCACCTACTCGTCCTGGTTGCACTGGATTATGCTTGATAATAATAATAACAATTTTTGATATTTCCTGAGTAACCCTAAAAGTTTACTTTTGAACTGAATCTAAATTAGTCTACTTCTAATCTGGACCGCAATTTAAATTAGCGATTTCTAATCCTTCTAGAGATTCCGAAAACTCCTTCCTCCTTGTTGACAGGTGTAGATTCGATTTCCCCAAACTCTTCTTCCCCATCCAAGATAATATTTACTGCTTGGGATCTAACTACATAAGGTCTAATGTTATTCTGATGAATATGTATTTTCGCTCCATCAGGCATTTGTACTACAAAAGAGTGAGAACTTCTCTGTTCCAACATACTTGCAGGACCCTGTCACCTAGTGTAGAGTTTGTTATTAGAATCAGGAATCAGCACTATCACCTTATCTTCACCTTAAATGTTTTAATGGCAGACCTTAAATTATGATAGTGAGCTGTCTTCTCTTGTTGAATTTCATCTGTGAGCTTTACCTGCTCAACTGCCTTCTCAAACCTAGCCTTGACATTTTGTAAATAGTTATAAAAAGGAGTTGCATCTAATTGTAAATTTTCATGTTTCCCTTTCCATGATGATTTTAATATCGACAGAGGTCCCTAAGGTGTCCTGCCATACATGAGTTGAAATGGAGCAACCCTAGTTGTTGAGTTGGGTACCTCTCTATAGGACCACAACACATAAGGAATTTGCAAATGCCACCCTCTACCTTCTTCTCTGATGACCTGATGCAACATTCTTTTTTACCATTAAACCATTTACCATTAAACCATTAAAGTACCATTAAACCGTTCAACTAATCCATTAGCTTGAGGATATCCAGGGGTCGAAAACTTAGGACTGGCCCCTATTTGTCTCTCAAATTCTTGAGTCAAATCTGCTTTAAAATTTGTTCCATTGTCA